CSKKGSCMWTTKGKTWWTTTAAAAAAAAWTTAGATTCAGATYTAAATCGAATAACTTTGGTTGCATTCACTTTAAATTAAAAATAAATAAAGTAGAGRCGGTTAAAACTATACTCAACTTCGTCTTACTCAAATAAGTTTTACATCCTGACAAGAGCAGAGATCGACAAAGCAATATAATGTCAAAAATGGTCTGAAAGTTATACCTAAGCGCTATATACCCTATTTTCTTTAGTAAATCCAACAAAAAAATCCTCAAAGCTGTTTGGTTTTTAAAAAGGACGAGACATAAAACCGGATTCTCTGGAAATGAACTCTTAAAAGGATCAAGCCGAAATCTGAACTACTTTGGGAATAAATCAAAATCATAAATTGTAGGGCTCAAAAACACGGTTAAAGATCATCATCATATATAACAGCGACATTTCAGAATAGTTTTCGTTTACTATCAGTTATTGAAAAAGAGAAAAATATCAAGCTTTTAATGGAAGACATTAACAGATGAAATAATATTCTGTCTCATTCAAATGATAAATGAGCAGTTTTAGTCTGACGTTCCTCGCAGTCTTCAATTTGTTATTTTATTTTTTTGGAATGATATTTCTTATGAAAAAAGTACAATTGATGTTTTAACGATAAGTAAACATATTTGCTGTCAGAAAAACTAGAAATTGTTGTTTTGTGTGGCCAGTTTATTGTGGTTATCCAGCTTACGGCAATTTTCGAATTTTCTTCCACACCACAATGCTACACTGTGGCCATGTCGGCCTCTAGAAATAAACGTACAACAACGAAGTTCTTACAACAGAAAAACTAGCACACGTTAAATAAATAAATTTATTGGTATCACTCATATTCTTTTTYTTTTTTTTTTTTTTTAGTTTATTTTTTTGATTTGTGTATTCGTAATTGCACCTGTTTAAATTTATACTGACGCGTTTTTAGGTGTTTGCTGGAAAGTAATGTMAGGACTAGACTTCTATAAGCTGTTTATGTTGATATTGTCTTCGAAAAGTTAGCTCCAGAATTCTGTGACTCAAAGTCAGAATTACTACAGAAAAACGTATATTTTGTGTTAGAGTTACTTAAGAACCATGAATAAGAGAAAAGCCTCAGGAGATATCGACTTATTCACAAACCTAGACTCAATATATATTTCTTTCTTCGGGATATTGAAATGGGTTTTTCGATGTTGATGAAGACGTCGGAAGAAGAATCATAAGTTGATGAGTACTCGTCAAAACTATATAAATATGCCCTACTTTTTCTTTTTCGAATCTGTATTGTCTTTTTTAGCCACGGTAGGAGGATAGGAATTAATCGCAATGGGAGTTAAAAGAGAGCAATGCTCCATGCTGAAAGAAATCAGCCATTATTCTATATTGTATTTTAAAATGAGGATTTTCTAAAGATTGTTGTTTTGAATAAAAGGCGGACGAGTAAAAGAACCAGTAGTAACATGTTCATTCAGTTAATTGAAGTGACAGGCCAGATCTTTTAAAATTTCATGTGTCGTTTAATATTCATGAAGATTGCGGATTAAAACATGGAGAATTTGTGGGTTGAAGGGCTGGTTGGGTTCAGTTGGTCAGTTCAGTCAGGTCAAAAGATCAGATCAGATCCTACACGCGCGGGAAAAAAGCATGCCTTGACCATAGCCGTGCTTAGCGAAAAGGAAGCATAATTATCATGCTTAGACATGCAAATTTTTCTGCGATCAACTTAGAACAAAAGACTTCAGATATATTTAATTTACCTGCGAACATAAATATCATAATATAAAGGAAAAATACAGGTGATGCTGAAGATGAATATCAGGCAATAATCTAGAACATTTAGAATGTGCGTATCTTTCAACAATCTCTTTCTCTCTCTCTCTTTTATTTTTATATTYTTATGCGAATAAAACCTCCAACATTCTGACAGGTTTAAGGATCTTTCGTTTCCTGAAATCAAACCCCGTATTCAAGGTTCTTTAAGTTTTTTTTGAAAACTACAATTATGGAATTAATCTTCGTAAAGCATAATTCCCTTGATTGCAATTCTAAGAAAAATAATGCGCTTTTCAGACACCTCGCTAACTAATCCACCTGGTGCTACTTTTTTCTCATTCGAGACGCCAAATATCTCATTAATATTCAGCACTCACTATTCCTTTCATTTATTTTCCAAAGACTGATTAGCTTGTGAATAATGAATATTTAACTTGGAGTTCCCGAATATTGAATCCTAATCAAAGTTTCTTGGCTTTTTGTCTGTTAATGAAGAAAACTTGGCGCGAAAAGAGTAGCTCTAGTTCTGAAGGAAATAACAGTGGAAAGCAATGGAAGGAAAGTTGGAAATATGCGATTTTGGCATTTTGAAATTAATCTCGTGAGGGTTAGAGTAAAACAAAGACTTCAAAATGCTCTTAGTCTTAATCAAGAGGGCTAAGATTTTCTTTGCCTATTAAGCTTAAACACATATAGTGCCGCTTAAAAAATCGGCTTTTGACGTTGGACGTACAGCTTAATTAGCTTAAAACCATAGATTGAGTAGTCTAAGCAAATGGCGAGGAAGACCAGTGAATAAAGGATTTAAGTTCAGCTACTGACCAGACGAAGTACAGCGTTATGAAACCCTAAAAGTGAGCTAGATTGATTGTCGAGTGATAAATCCCTGACATGCAGAGAGAGAAGTCGTGCAGGGATATCTGAAGGAGAGCACAAAATTAACAGATGCTAGAAAATCGAATATCGATATACGCGTTGGTGTTGTATGATAAAGATGCAGTAACAACAGCAATCGACTGTCTGGCACTGCGACAGCAAAAATACAACAGGAAAACCCATTAATTACTGAGGGGAAAGACGCTTCTCCTAATGAATACAAATAACAGGCTTCTAGCAATTAACTCTAGCTACAAAATGCGTAATATTTGCCGACGAAATGAAGAGACTCCTTCCTTAATAGCGTTTCTGTCATCAAACTTAAAGCATCTAAAGCCACTGAAACCTTTTATCTTAGAAAGCAATTTCAAAGAAATTCTCAATCACATTCGATGCACTTTTAGACCAAACTGTATTTGAGAAACAAAATGTAAAATGTCTAGGAATTATGCAAAAGAGGCCAGGGAGATTTGCGACTGGACTTTTAGGTAAACAGGAAAGAATGCGCAACATGAATTCTGTAGTCATTGAACTGCACTGAAAGTGTAGTTTAAAATAATGTCCTAAATGAATGGATAGATATTTGACTACAGGACATTTTTATTTTATCCATATGCGAAGAAGAAAAATCATTTTAGTTTTACAATTTAGCTCTTTTTAATAACAAAGTAATATATTATTCAAACTACACATTTCATTAAATAAAGTCGGATAAATCTGAATTTGGAAATAGTACTTATCTAAATTTACTGACAAATCTGCTTGGAAAGTTTAAAGCTAAGCTGCTTGTAGAATAAAGAGTTTGGACGTATTTGTCAGGACGACTATAATTCCTGTAAGTTTTCTGCAGCTGTTGATAGGTGTCGGGTTCATTAGGCCAGCAGACCTGCATGCATCCGTGATTAAGTTTGACCTTTCATTACTTTTTACAGGCTTTTAGTAAAGTATACAGGTACAAGAATTATGTATGAAGCACAATTAATAAATGGGTGTAAGATTACGCAAGTCCTGTTATTTTTAACGCAAAAGAAAAACCTGTGAAAGGCGATACAAGGCTAATTTTTTCAAATGTGTGAAGTCTAAAATTCTCCATGTTTTTTTTTTCGACCAATAACAGCCATCTTAATTTAACAATTTGGCTTCRCGCAAAAGCCCTAACCATTTTTGGTTGTTTCAAGGCGGCAAACTGCGTCGGCTTTTGGAACACGAGTCCATATAGAGGACATTAGCTCTTTAACATTCTCTTTGATATCTCGCAGATGTATATAGAACCCAAATGCGCAATTATTTTTTTAAAGAACTTTGCGTCTCTGATTAAAATGGATGAACAGCCGGGTGCTTTAGAGACGCCCTTTTTTCGAGATGTAGTTATGAATTTCACGATTCATTTGGGACACTTTAACGCGTGGAACCCTGCAATCACTGAAGAGACACTGACTAATATCTAAAAAAACATTCCAATGAATTCTTTCAGGGCCATTTTTGCGAGAAATATCTCAGTTGATCAAATAAAGCAATTAAAGATTGCGGAAACAGTCGTATTTGTTCTTTCGATGACAAACATCGTGAAAGTAAGAGTATTTTTTTTTACCTAAATACCAAAGCCCCCATGATGCCATTACATTAGTCAGCGATGGCAGATAAGTTTCCATGGCAACCTAAGGTGTTTAGAAGCGATGAATGAAGATGGATAGAGTTGAAGGCAGGGAGTATAGGAAATGGGTTTATTGCTGATGTAGTTGATTTTTAAGAGCATCCTTGTTAAGGGTACCTACTGCTGAGACGTGCACCGGGAGGCTTGCGCCTTTTTAAGAGCGGTTTACTTAGAACTTGAGATTTTCATCGTTTTAGGAAAAATGTTAAGGAGAGAGAATGAAAGTGTGCTGCGTTTGATGCGTTTTTTCCCCGTTATAAGTGAATATACTTCAGTGCTATTTTCCATCGAACCGGGCGATTAATTATTTACGGAATCAACACTGTTCAACTATTTTTTCGGAAAGAAAGAAAGAAAGAAAGAAAGAAAGAAAGAAAGA